TTTGGGGCTCATCTGAATATTAGACTGAGCCCTCAGTTTGCAGCCAGGAGATCTGTGTTCAAGGGCTGTCTCTACTTCCCAGAGTCTCTACCCCCCCTTCCCCTTTCTCCTCTGCCCAACCCCCACCGCCTGCCCTATTCTAAGAAGCATGGGAGTCAGTGGAGCTGGTACTTCCTGCCTTCGGGGGTCGCTGGCATTGTGGCCCTTCAGTTTAGGAGTGGGGTGTGCGGAGGACCTGGGGCTTCATTAGGCAAATTCAGGAAAACCACCCTGCCAGGGAAAGCCTTCCTTCAGAACCGCTCTGGGGGTACCAGGAGGTTTGTTTTTCTCTCAATAGTTGGTGTTTCAGAAATATGCCGCCAACTTCCAACAATTCAGTTCCAAAAGTGCCTCTCCCCTGGTTAATCGTCCAAATGTCAACTGCAGTCTCCACCTCCTTTAAAAGAGGTTGAGTGTGGCAGTGCTCGCCTGTGGCTCCAGCAACTTGGAAGGCTGAGGGGGAAGGATCTCCTGAGCCCAGCAAGTCGAGGCTGGGGTGGCCATGAGTTTGCCACTGCACTCCAGCCTGGGTGTCAGAGTGAGACTCCAACCCCAAAAAATAAAATAAAAGAGGTCGAGTAAAATATAAAATTACAGTCTGTTCAGGTGGCTTCAGTATATGGAATAAATGTGGGCAGAGAAGAAACGTTTTCCCAAGAAAACACAGCACCTCAAAAGTCTGAGGAAAGAGCTCTTTCCATCTGAAGGCTCAGCTGTGGCCCGGAGCAGCAGGGCGACCAGAAATAGCTCGTGGAAGTCTTGCTGTACACAGAGTCGGAGCCCACAAAGGCAGTCTGCGGGTGTGCCAGGATTTCTCAGGCAGGGAAGCAATTTCTGGCTAAAAGACAATGCGTGCAGCTTCCCTCCGAGGGCAAGTTTAGTTCCTAATGATTAGAAGTAAGAGTGGAAAGAAAAAAGCCTCCACCAATCTCAGAAGGGATGGGGCATGGGGTGGGGCTGGGCCCCGGAGAGGCCTCCTGGGCTTCTTTTCCTGGCCTCTCTGTCTGTAGCCTCAGCCTCCCAAAATGCTGGGATTATAGGTGTGAGCCACCACACCTTGCCTGCAGCTCAGTTTTCTCAGCTGCAAGATGAGAATGGTCCTGTCTGGCTGACTGATTTGAAAAGACATGGAAGGCCCAGCGAGACAGTGTCTGGAAAAGCAGATGATAAGGTTGTGGCTCGGAAAGAACAGAAGTGCTGAGAGTAATAACAAACACGGACCAAGCACTGTGCCATGCCCCCACACCATTTCATCTAAACTTCACCCTCGTTCTTCAACAGACAGCCTCAGAGTGGAGGTGCTGGCATGAGGTGGGAGTCCTGGGGACATGTATGGGCTCCAGGTGACACAAGCCCGTGCTCAATCCTGGCTCAGCCTTGTATCTGCTCTAGGACTCTGGGCACCTTCTTTAACTACACCCAGCTTCAGGGTCCTTATCTGTGCATTGGGGGTGTGGTGTCACCTGCTTCATGGGTTGTTGCACAAAGCACTACCGGGTAAGCACTCAGTATCAAGCCTTGTTACATGAATGTTAGCCATTAAGATTAACGATGTGGTCGGACTTGGTGGCTCAGCCTGTAATCCTAGTACTTTGGGAGGCCCAATTGAGAGGATTGCCTGAGTCCATGGGTTCAAGACCAGCCCGGGCAACTTGGTGAGACCTCGTCTCTAAAATAAAATAAAAAATTAGCCGGGTGTTGTAGTGTGTGCTTGTGGTTCTGGCTACTTGGAAGGCTGAGGTGGAATGATCACTGGAGCTCAGTAGGTCGATGCTGGGGTGGCCGTGAGTGTGCTACTGCACTCTAGCCTGGGCGACAGAGAGTCCAAATTAAAAAAAAAAAGGTTAATGATGTGCTCACTTGACAGACGGGAAAACGGAGGTCAAAAGGTGAAGGAACTGGCTCAGGCCACAGAGCTAGTGAGCACTGGAGCTGGGGTTTGAACCATGGCCTTTTGGACTTTAGCACTTAACCATCGCTTCCTGGAGCAGGGTAACAGAACATCTGGATTCTAACTCCACTAAACCACGGGGTGATCCATCCACGCATGCATCTCCCCATCTCCCCCTCCACCCACCCATTTATGCATCCATCTCTCCATCCATCCATCCACTCACCCACCTACTCACCATTTATTCATTGACCCCCTTCCTCTCTCTACCTACCCCCATCTCATGGATTACACATTCATTCAACAACCAGTTCACTTATCCCACCCGTTCACCCCATCTCCCCAAAAGCCTATGTCAGAGGGACGAGAGGAGACTCAGCAGTCTCCTCCTTGTAAAGAGCCCTCAGTCTGCATCAGACAGCCAGAAGACACAGGGCTCCTGGTGTCCTAGTGGAGGGGGAGACACAGCGGTGTGGAATCCCAGCCCCGCCAATCTCATTTTCCAGTGAAAGCTGATGGGCAGTGGAGCTGGTGGACACTGCATGTCCTTCCTGCCTGGTCTCCTCCTGCATGGTTCAAGCTGGTTTGGAGGGTAGTTGCGCGTGTGCCCTGAGCTCTGCAGCTCCGGCCTCTTCTCAGTCTTCATCTGGGCCCAGAAAGGGCAGCCTCTGGCTGTTAATCTGACCCTCTGGACCCCAGGCCTCCTTTCCCAAGGCCACTGTAGGCTAGAGGTGCTGCAGGATTGCTTTTGATGACCAGGGACCTGGTTTGGACACCTGGACTCAGCATCTGGTTTTAGGGTATCCATAGGCAGGCTTTGCCGCTAATTGGCCATATGGTTCTGGGCAATCCCGCTCCCTCTCTAGCCCAGATGTCTCTGCTGTGTTTTTATTTGTTAGCTTTTGCATTGCTACAAATGGAATCCCCTCTCCAAGAGTGATTTTACTGCTGAATATCAAAAGCACTAGTCACACTGAGCACTGACTGTGAGCCAGGCATTGTGCTAAGTACTTTCCATTTACTAATTCATTTCATCCTCTCAATGATCCTATATTTCTCCCTGGGAACTGAGGCACTGAGAGGTGAAGTAAGTTGTTTATATTCACATAACTAGTAAAGAATTTGAACCTAGGCCATCTAGCTCCAGAGTCCGAGTTTAACCACTACTCAATCACAGAGGGGCTCGGCCATCCCTCCCACACTGAGGGCTGTCAGCCCCCAGCAAAGAGCACCATGTGGCCAGGGTACTCTCAGGAAAGACTCAGAAAGACAGGTACAGGTGCCGTGGGATGCCAGGGCTCAAGGTACAGGTGGGGACGTTGGTGCCTGAGAGGTCAGTGACCTGGCTACACAATAAGGACCCCAGCCCAGGTTCCCAATCCCTCTCCAACCTCAGAAGCTGCACCTTCTGCCCAGGGGGACTGGCTGCCCCTGTCCTTTATGCCACCCGGACACCGGCTTGATCCACCAACATCTGGAAACTAAAGATTATCTTTGCCACCAGTGCTACAAAGTACAGCTTAATCGAGACTTATCACTGTGGGATGATTCCACAGCCCTCCTGGCAGATCCCGAGAACTCCTTTTGACGGTAATTGAATAACATACATCTCAATCCAAGCCCACCCCACAGGGGCGTGCCACGTGGCCGCCTCCATCTCCCGAAGCCAGTTTTGGGAATCTCCGGTTCCTCTCCTTGCCACGCTTGCAGGTCGAGATCATTAACAGCATCTTGGTTATTTTAGGAAGGCGTGGGGAACAGAATAAAGCATCGCTGATCTCCCTTGCTTCCCAAATCAAGTGGGGGTGGGGGAAGAAGACAAAACCTTCGTCATTTCTGGCATCAGGCCTGGGGCTCTCTAACACCGTCTGCACGTGTTCTCTGACCTACTTTCCCCCTTTGTCGGTTCTGCCTCCCTGAGCCCGCTGCTCCAGGGTGATGCGGGTGGCTGCTCAGCTGCAGCGGAGGGCGCAGAAGCCACCGCCGCCTCTTCCCTCCACCAGCCCTCGGCTCTTTGCTGCTGACTCACGCTCTCTTCCCCGTTTCGATAAAGCTGCTAGCAGCTCCCATAAACCCAACCTGATCGTGAAGTTTGCAGCTGGCTCAGGGGCAGAAGCGGGGAGGTCAGGGCTTGGCACATTCGGAGGGTAAACAAAAAAGCTCGGCCGAGCACCCAGATGCTCACAAGGCAGAAATGCTCTGCATCTGGGAGCCCATGGACATCTGGACAGATGAACTCTGGGTTTCTCTTCATCCACGTGCTGGTTAATTGCAAAGAGGCAACTCTTGCTTTTCCAAACCAAATAGAGATTGCAGCATGATGAGTTCGGGCAGCTTAGCTGAGATAGCAGGGTGAGAATTTTTCTTACCAAAACCAGTCATATGACTAACAGCAACAACAACGCTTGAATCCATGTGCTTTGCAGCACCTCCCGTCAAGAGGTGGAAGTCCCTTATCTCACTCTGTGAATCTGGGCTGGCCGCCTGACTTCCACTGGCCAACAGGGTGTGGCAAGTGACAACATGCCAGTTCAGAGACCAGGCCTCAAGAAAGCCCCGAGCACCTTGGCTCTCTTGAAGCCCGATTGTCACCGTATGAACAAGTCCAGACTTGCCTGCTGGAGGAGACGAGACCACAGAACAGAGATGCCCCAGCCCGTCTGAGGCTGTACACAGGATCAACTCGCGGTTCTGCCAGTGCAGAAGAACCATCCAGCTGAGCCCAGGCTGAACTGCTGACCCCTGTGATTTCACGCTAAAAACAGTCTGGTGTTTTGGAGTGGTTTGTTATAGAGCAAGAACCAACTAACAAAAAACGTTTTTGCACTAGGATGGGGGTCAAAGACAGACTGAAAAGCAATCTCTTTTTTTTTTTTGGGTCATACAAACCTCATGGCAATCTCAATAGAACATTGGCTCAAAGAAAAACGAGCTGCTTACCGTCGGATCACGCCAAACTAGGGCAGCAGGGTTTGAAAACATGAATCGCACTGTTCGGCCTCCCGCTTCTTTGGCACCACCCCATGAATGTGGCTCCCCCTGGCAGAGGCCGTGCCCGGGAACCACTTACCAGGATCTTGGTGGTGTAGGCGCTGTTGATGGCAATGGCGTTGACTAGCAGCTCCAGGGTTTTGGCGTTGACGGAGCTGGGGTCGGGGATCTCCCTGTAGTGGGCGTCGCCGATGTAGGCCTGCACCACCGTCATGCGGTTGGTGGTCAGCGTGCCCGTCTTGTCCGAGCAGACGGCCGTGGCGTTGCCCATGGTCTCACAGGCGTCCAGGTGGCGCACCAGGTTATTGTCCTTCATCATTTTCTGGGAGAAGGGGCAGGTGAGAGGGTGACCGTGAGGAGGGGGAGCTGGGGAGCGAGGGAACCCCGGGCCTGGCCGGCCCCCTTTGCGGCCTTGGCCTGGCATCGTGGTTGCCACAGCCTCCGACCCCTGGGCTGCTGCTGCTTTATCATTTGAGCCTCTTAAAAGACTCGACTCACTGACTGTATTAATGTGGATGACAGAAGTCACCCGTATTCTTGCTGGAAAAAATAAAGGAAGAGATGATAAGGAAATTAAGGCTGGATCCCTCTTGATTACTTCGAATATTTTTCTCTTACAGCCTAACATCGATAGCCATCTGCAATTCGGTTATGCATTTTCCCAGGCATCTCATCTTGCACTGGTGCCTGGCTTTCATAATCACTTTAATTTCACCAAAAGTCAGTACATCTAAGATGTAAATAAATTTAGTAGGTAGGAAAATAACGGGAAAAGTGTCAATGTCCTTATCTCTAGGTGATAGAATGACACGTTTTTATTGTCTTCTTTTTGAAGTCTACAGATTTTATTTTTTCTATAATGAATAGATATTATCGCCTGCATAATAAAAACCACAGGTGTCTTTTTTTTTTTTTTTTTTTTTGAGTTGAAGTCTCACTCTGTCACCCAGGCTGGAGTGCAGTGGCACACTCACAGCCACCGCAGCCTCGACCTGCTGGGCTCAGGCGATCCTTCTGCTTCAACTTTCCAAGTAGTTGGAACTACAGGTGCTTGCCACTATGCCTGGTTAATTTTTTGATTTATTGTAGTGACGAGGTCTTGCCAAGTTGCCCAGGCTGATCTTGAACCTCCGGGCTCAGCCAGTTATTGCGCCTCTGTCTCCAAAGTTCTAGGATTACAGGCGTGAGCCACTGCACCCAGCTCACACATGTCTTTATAGATATACAAAAAGAAAAAAACCAAATCAGCCATAAGCTAATATCCAGAACTGGTGCATTGTATATCAACATCCCTTCTTTTAAATTTTATAACAAAGTGGAATAATTTTTTATATAATATTTATTTTCTTCAATATGCCTTCCTTTCTCTCTGGTCCAGCTCCATACTTGTGGCTTCTTCTATGTTCTCAGGTAAGTAAAGACATTCTCAAGGAATGGCCATTTCTCATGCAGGCCCTGCAAAAATTGCAGCTGAGTCAACTGGAGTCCTAGGCTGTGCCTGTGAATTTGATTTCCTTCATTCTTGCTCCTCATTATAACTCTTTTTTTTTTTTTGAGTTGGAGTCTCACTCTGTCACTCAGACTGGAGTGCAGTGGCCGCTTCCAGCCACCGCAGCCTCTACTTGCTGAGCTCTGGTGATCCTTCCGCCTCAGCCTTCCAAGAAGCCGGAATTACAGGCATGCACTACCATGCCCAGCTGATTTTTTTATTTATTGTAGAAATGAGGTCTGGCTGCCCAGGCAGGTCTCGAACCCGCGGGCTCAGGCAATCCACTCACCTCAGCCTCCCAAAGGCGCGGGATTACAGGCTAAGCCACCGAGCCTGGCTATACTTTTTATAACAAGGCTAAAAAGGAGTGCAGTTAATTAGAATAATTTTCATAGAGGTTTATGTTACTAAAAAATGAGTATTGGTAGGATTATATGTTATTGCGATTTCTCCTATTATAACTTGTAATAATAGTAAAAATAAATGTGTGCCAAACAGACGATAAGCAGCAACTTGAATTTGCAGCACAATTCACAGTTTGCAAAGCCCTTCCGCATTTACTTGTCTGATGTTATGAGACTCCCGTGAGACATGAGAGCATTCTGGTACCCCTTTCTGGCAATCGCAGAAATCCAGGCAAAGTGGCTTGATCAGGATCATACACCTGGGAGGGGTTTAAAACTGGAATTTGAACCCAGCTCTGTTTAACCTCACAGCCTGGATCATTCCATTGGGCCTCAGCCCAACTGCAGTCTCTGAAGAGGAGTTGCCTGTTGGGCTTAAGAATTCGTAAATCTGCGTTGTCCAATATGGTAGTCACACGTGGCTATTGAGCACTTGAAATGTGGCTAGTCTGAAGTGAAGTGTGCTATGAGTGTAAAATACACTTCGGATTTTGGAGACATTACCGAGAGAGGGGGGGGGGTAGAGAGAGAGAGAGAGAGAGAGAGAGCGAGAGAAATATAGATATGGGTTCTCACTCTGTTGCCCAGGTTGGAGTGCAGTGACACGATTACAGCTCACTGCAGCCTCGATCTTCTGGGCTCAGACGATCCTCCCACCTTAGCCTCCTGAGTAGCTGGGATTGCAGGTACATGCTACCATGCTCAGCTGATTTTTTGAGTTTTTGTAAAGGTGTTGCCCAGGCTGGTCTCAAACTCCTGGGCTCAAGCCACCCTCCCGTCTCATTCTCCCAAAGTGCTGAGATTATGGATGTGAACCACCATGCCCCGTCCCTCATTAATAATTTTTATGATAAAAATTATATTATAAAATCATATTATAAAGTTACACGGATAATCATTTGGACATATTGGGTTAAGTATGTTATATTATTAAAATGAACTTTGCTTCTTTTTACTTTTTTCTTTTATGTGGCTCTTAGGAAATTTAAAATTATACATTTTATGACTCACAGTCTCTCTCTTTTGGGCAGCACTGGTCTAAGTGGTCTAAGTGGTCAGTCATCTTTACGCTCTTGAAGGTGGCTCCTGGGTCCAGGACCTGGGCTGGGGTGCTCTACTTACTTTGTCTAGTGACTGCACAAGTAACACTACCTAACATGAGCGAAGGTACCAGGAGCCAGAGATATAAGCTGCAGAAGGCGCAGAGGCCTAAAACGGTCTGTATATGATTCCCCCAAGCCAGCTCTGTGTGACTCTCAGGAGACTCCAAGCTCGGTGGGGTGGCTATGGAGGTCCCCTACTCACGGCCCTGTAGGAATCCACCCTCTCCTTGCCCCTTGCCTCCAAGGAGCATTGCATTGCAACCTGCTTGGGCTTTGGTTTGTGGGATGGAGTTTCTTCGAGAACCCTAAAACAGGGAGGTGATAAGGGCCATATCCTTTACACAGACCTGCCACTTCCTGGCACCAGCCCGGAGATCTCTTTTCTGTATGAAATTACATCGGAGAGCCCAGCCCAAATTCCAACTTGGAAACTGATGCTACACCGTGCCCTCCGGTGGCTCTGCCAATTTCTCAGAGTGAATACCTCGTTTATAAACACCGCTGCATCTCCGCCCTCGAGGGGGCATGCTTGCACTGGGATGCTGGGAGACAAGAGCCCAGGGCCAGGCCCTTCAAGGCGGGGAAACCGCAGGGCAAACAGAAGAAAATGAGACCGGGGTGTGAGAACCTGAGTGTGATCCAAAGAGGGTCAGATCTGCAACATCCGGGTTCCACAGACAGCCCCCACCCATGCACAGAGGAGGTATGACATTACCTTCAAGGTAGTGCTTAGGAATGCCCAGACCAAGCCCAAGCGCACCTTCTTTTTTTTTATTTTTGGAGTCTCACTCTGTCGCCCAGGTTGGATTGCAGTGGCAAACTCACGGCCACCCCAGAGTCAACCTGCTGGGTTCTCGCGATTCTTCCACCTCAGCCTTCCAAGTAGCCCGAACTACAGGCGTGCACTACCACGCCTGGCTGATTTTTTGATTTTTATTGTAGAGATGAGGTCTCGCCAAGTTGCCCAGGCTGGTCTCGAACCCGCAGGCTCAGGTAATCCACTCGCCTCGGCCTCCCAAAGTGCTAGGATTACAGGCTGAGTCACCGAGCCCGGCTGGGCCCAACCCTTCTTAAAACCTCTCTTATTTTCAGCCCACATCCCGAGGGCAGGAGGCTTCCATGAAACCAAACTTCCTTGAAACCAGACTTCGTTTTCCGTGCACCTCTCATGCTTTAGGGAGTGACCCCTAAGATTGGTTCAACAAGCACTAGGCTACCCGTGGGGCCTGTAACTGGCTGCCAGCCGTCTGCCTAGATTCGGTGGGGTGAAGATGAGTTCTGGCTTGCATGTTGATGTCTTTTATTATTATTATTTAACGATTTGAGTTGATTGTCAATGTCTAAATGTTAGGAGAGTCTCCATTAAGTCCAGTTTTCCGGCCTTTCTTGAAAAGACGAGAAGATCTGGCAACACCAGGCCTGCCCTCCTGCAAGGGGGCACTTGGCTGGGCTGAGTGACAGCGGCCCCTTCGGCCGGGGTTTAGCTCCCTGGTTGCACGGGCCCCTGCACTCTGCAAAGATGAGTTTCGGGGTACTGCCCACACATCCTCTCTCTGAACGCCCAGTGGGCTTGTGAAACCAGACTTCGTTTGCTTAGCTTGCCTCCCCACCCCAGCACCGGCCCTGCTGGCCCCCAGACCTCTGGCTGGGGCTGCGTCAGCCAGCTGGTCCTCCCCTCCTCCCCTCTCACCTTCACTGAGTAGGCCAGCGAGATGGTGACAGCCAGAGGGAGCCCCTCGGGCACGGCGACCACCAGCACCGTCACGCCAATGATGAAGAACTTGACAAAGTACTGCACGTAGACAGGTGTGCACTCGGGCAGCCATGGCTTCTTGTTGACCACGAAGGTGTCCACGGTGAAGTAGAGCACCAGGATGATCACCGTGATGGCTGACATCACCAAGCCTGCAAGGCAGGGACACAGGCTCAGGGAGACTCCCGGGGGTGCGGGTCCTGAGGAGTGGGGTGTGGACCAAGCTCTGGGCCAGAAGGGCTCTGGGGTTAGGTAGACCCGGCCCATCTCCCGGCTCTGCCACTTCCTTAGTTTGTGACCTGGGCGAATCCTTGAAGCTCAGTGAGCCTCAGTCTCCTGCACTGTGCAAGGGGGACGCACGTTTCCTTCGCCGGGTTTGGTAAGGCTCAAATGTGGTCATGCATGGGAAGTGCCTGGCACACGGGTGCTCAAGAAAGAAAGAACTGTCTGGATTGAGCTTTCACACAGCAGGGGTGTGAAGTTGGTATCATCTATTTCCTTGTTTGTGCCACAAATTCCTTTGAAGAATCTCCAACATGCCAGTCCCACAGGAGTTCCTAGGACCTAGGGACACAGCGGTAGAGAAGACAGAACTCCTGCCCTTGGGGAGCTGACATTCTAGAAGGGGTGGAAGTTAAGAAATAAACTCATGAATGAGCCATGGATCCTGGCAGGGAGGAAAAACGCCAGGATGATGTGGGAGCAAGTGCCAGGGGTGGCAAGGAGTGGACTTTTTTTAGCTGGGGTGGCCTTCTTGGAGGAGGTGATATGTGAGCTGACATGAGCCGCATGGTAACCTGGGGGAGAGTGTTCCAGGCAGAGGAAACCACAATGGCCATCTTTTTGGATGGGGAAACAGGCTCAGAGAGGGAAAGTGACTTGCCCACGGTCCCAAGCCAGGGAGATGCTGGAGGTACAGGAATGCAGGAGGGGACCTGTCCAGATCCTTTGGGGCTCCTCCTGCCCGTCTGGCATGCCCATCCCCCATAGGCTGGAAGTGCCGCGGCAGGTGCTGTGGAGATGGCTCACACCTGCAGCCGCAGTCAGAGAAGGATGCCCCTGGGGCGACTGGAAGCCCCTTGCCAGGAAGTGCCTGGGAGTGCATCCCACCCCAATCTGATGGCCAATATCCAGTGGCTGATGTGGGGGTCCCAAAGCCCAGCCACCTACTCCAAGGTGGGACAGGCCCTGGGGTTCTAGACAGCACAGATTCTGAGGACAGCGGGAGTCATGGAAGAGGTTTGAGCAGGGGAGGGCAGGGATGTGTTTGGGCTGCTCCAGAGCCCCCTTGGGATCGGGCAAGACTGGTAGTTCTCAGCTACATCTGGCATCTCCCATGGCCTTAACCAGCAACCCTGACTCCCTGCTGGTCTTGTGTGAGAGCACTCTCCCAACGAACCCCTTGCCCACTCAGCTCAGTTCTGCTTCCAGGGAATACGTGCCAAGAGAGGGCAGAGGTGGGACATGAACCCAGGAGTGCTTGAGTGTAAACTCCACCCGAGCAGGTCTGAGGTTGGCGAGGGCGGGGGGGTGAGGCTTTGAAGGCTGCGGGGTTGCTCTCACGGCTCGCTTCCCTGCCCTGCCAGTGCCAGGTTTCCATGGAGTCTTCTGCCACGGCGGGGTGGAGGAAATCCCCGTGCCCATGGCTCCCCACCCCCGCTTCCAGCTGTGGTGGCTCGGAACTGGCTCTGTCCCTGTCTGATAGTCACAGGGGCGGGAAGCCAAGCTCCCGGCAGCCGCGAGCCGTCACCAGGCCCCAAGTTTAAATATAGACAGCCAAGCCTGCAATTTGCTTCCACTCCCCACGCTGTCGTGTCTATAATTAGAGCTGGGGAGACAGCCACGGAGGCTTGAGCAGCCAGGTGGGAAGGCCTCGGCGTTTGTCACATCCTTACCAGGCAGGGGAAGCCAAGGCCGGGTCAGGGTCGGGGGCTCACCTTGCAGCTGGGCTCGGCTTCCTGTGCCAGAAGGGCTGACACCAGCCAGCAGCTGCAGCTACCGTTTCAGCTGGGAAGCCCAGTTTGCGGGACTGGGGCTCAGACCATGGGCTTCTCCCTGGGCTCCTGGCACTGCCCTCGTCCTCTTCCATCTTTCCTCTGCACTGCAGCCAGGGTGGTCTCTATAAAGCTCAAATCCATCCCTGCCCTTTCCTGCTCAAACCTCTTCCATGGCTCCCACTGTCCTCAGGATAAAGCCATTGCTGCCTCGAACTCCAGGTCCCGCGGGATCTGCCCTCTCTCCAGCCACGGCACGTGCCAAGTGCCAAGCGCTCTGTATACGTAATCCCCTTTGCTCCTCATAGCAGCCTGTAAAGTGGGGACAACCCTTGTCCCCATTTTACAGAAAATGAGCCAGAGGCTCAGAGCTGGGAGAAGCTGCTTTTCCAAGTTCTCACAGCCACGGCTAGACAAGAATGCAGGTATGCCACCAGAGCCCAGGCTTTGAGCTTTACTCTTCTGCCTAAGCACTAATTGAACACCTACTATAGACAGAACTCAACGGGTTGCAGAGGCAGAGACGGGTGGGTCTCAGGGACCGTCCCATTTTGCAGATGAGGTGACTGAGGCCCCGCCTGAGGCTAGGCTGTGCCTGGGGTCCCCCGGTGCACCCGGTGCTCCCTGCTGCCGCCTGCTGCACACTTACCCGCCTTGCCGATCTGCACAGCCAGCTTGGTGAGCTTGCCCTGCAGCACGGACTTCTCCTTCTTGTGCATGTTGGCCTTCTTCTTGTCGTCTGCATCGCCGCCCTCGGCACTCTTGAGGGGCTGCATCTCCATGGCGGCGGCCCCGTCCTGCTGTTTGGCTGCAGGGGAGAGCACGCACGCGCACATACAGACAGACACGCGCAGGTCAGCCTGCAGGATAGGGGAGCTGGCACCCGCCCTGCCCACCCAGGGAAGGTAGGGGCTGCCCCGCCCGGGTCCCACATGGCTGGCACAAGAGTCCTGCGATGGAGGGAGGGGGGCTGCCTCTTCTGGCCATAGCCTCTGGGTCTCCATGGCACATGCTGTGTCAGGCCTAGAACACGGGACACAGCAGGGACTGACACTGGCCCCCCGGGTTCCCAGCAGGAGTGGGCTGGGGTCCCTGCTGGGCCTGAACGAGCCTATAGCTCCTGCTCCAAGTGGTCCTTTGGCCTTTCCCACATTCACACAAGACAGACAGGCTTGGACTTCACCCAGCTGGCCCTTGGGCTCATGGTGTTGGGACATTTAAGTCGCCACCAGACAGGAGGGCCAAAAAGGGAGGCTTAACAGGTAAAAGAGAGTGTCCTCATCCATGAGCACCAAGTCCCTGTCCCCGGCCAGCATGGGGCTGACGGAAAGGCCTGGGCTCTTTTGGACAGAGACTGAGCCAAACTCCCTACCCTTTGACCTCTCGGGCTCTCAGTCTTCCACTGAATGGGCAGCAGGGCTCAAAGGCGGGGTCAGTGCTGGCCTGTGGTTTCCCCTCTCCTCGCCTCTGGACATCTCTTTGTTGGCCCAGCACCACGCAAATCCCAGTGGCACCCCAAAGGCCATTAGCCACCCATAGGAGCGGTTGCTTCTGCCTCTGGTCCCAGCCAATCTCTGCCTCTGTTGTGACTCTCAGAACAGGTGGGCAGGGGCCACAGGGATCACAGAAGCTGGTTAATACAAAAGGGTTACCTTTGCTCTGGCTGGTGTCCACATTGCCATCCTGCATTTTACCTACACGACAGAGAATTTGAACAGACGACAGAGAACAGACAACACACAGTCGGTCATCACGAAGACGCAACAGGCCATGGACATTCATGTCACAGACGGAGGAAGGGCCGTGCTGACCATGCCCCCGCTGTACAGGGACGCCGCTGGGGATGCCCCTCCAACAGGAGCAGGCCTGGGCACCACCTTAGCCGTGGGGCTGTCAGGTGGGCAGCTCTGGGTCCTCTAGGAGACTTGGGGGGATGGTTTCTGTGGGAATAATTTTGGCCCTGAGCATTATACAGATTAAAGGACAAGATTTGAAGGTGAAAGGGACCGGAGTCTGCTGGTGGGAGGCAGAGGGGAAGCCCCTTATGCCTGGTTGAGTTGGTGTGTTTTCTGGGCGGAGAGGAGGGTTAGGTAAACTTGTTCAGCTATGTCTTTTTGTTTTCCCATTATAAAATAAAAGTGTATAATTGAGAGTGAGAGAAAAAGAGAGAGAGAGAGAGATTAATTTTTGGATGGAGGGGCATTTGGACAGGTACTGAGGTCAATGTGGTCCTTAGTTTCTGGCTTCAGGAGGGACAATTCTGCTTTCTCCTTCTCCCTCTGAAGGGCGTGAAGTCATGCAGGGATGATCCCCTGCCCAAGACACCTAGGAATGGCCAGGGCAAAGAGAGAGCATGGGGTCCCTTGTGGTGGTCTCTGAGGGACCTGAGTGTGTCTGGGGCTTCTGGGAGGGAAAGCTGCTGACCCCTGGATAGGGGTATGCTTTTGATTCTGTGGCTCAGGCCACAGTGGATGAGCTAAGTAGGACCAGTGGCTGCTCTGGGCAACCCCTCCCACGCCGGGGCCTGACGCTGCCTACTGCTGGGAAGAGGCTGAATCTGGGACTCCCCACCCTCATCAGGGCTGCCTGAGAGGCCCCTGCCCAGCTTCGGCCAGAGATCTGCGGGCTGGTTTGCAGTGTAGCAGGCACTAGCGGCTGCTGCCTCTTCCCTGGGACACCCTCCTGTCCACCGGACCCGCATGCTCGGCAGAGCTCTGCCTGTAAGCCTCGCCCCCTCAGGAAGGGTCTGAGGTTGGCCCTCTTGGGCGTGTGCTGCCAAGATGACTCCCATAGCTCACGTTCTGGGAGAACCCACGGTGTGCTGGACACACACGGGCTCCGGACTCCATTTAATCCTCACTGCGGCCTTACCTACGAAGGGCGCTCTTGTATTTGCCCATTTACAGAGGACGAACTGAAGTTCAGAGTGGGAGATGGCCTGCCTGGCTCTCATAGGTAAACGGAGAGCCGGCCCTAAAGTGCGAGCATGTTTCCTCCCTGCCATCGCTTTTCCTGAAGCCACGGTCAGGAGACTGCCGACACCCTCAGCCCTTCTGAACCCAGTGCGGCGTTGAGCTGGCGGTGTTGGGACCGGGTTCTGAAGTTCCCGTTTTGCCACCGACTACCTGCGCGGCTTTACCTCTCCCAACCTCCGCTTTGACCTTCATCAGACAGGTGAGACATTCACTTCCCAGAGCGTCCCCAAGTTACCTGAACAATAATCACTTGCATGGGTCAGCCTTTTGCAGTTTCAAAGGGCTTCTGCAAGTGTCACCTCGTGTCAGTCTTCCCAGTATCCCTGCAAGTTGGGGTGGGGGGTGATTTTCATCCTCCTATTTTACAGATGAGGAAATTGAGGCCAAGGGAGGTTCAGAGGCAGCTTGCATTTATGGGGCGTCCTCCGAATAACCCCACGGCTGCACGATTAGCTCATCACCATCACGGTACCCACTTTATGGGTGACCCAAAGGGGAGAACTAGCTTCCCCAGGCCCCTCCCAGAGCTGTCCGTCCAGTGAGTGCACTGTGGTCCCCATAGTCTCCCACGGCAAAGGGTCAGTGGTCTTCCCTGGGCTTTAAAGAGAAAGGCCCCTGTGGCTCTCTTGTAAAATTCTTCCTACTGCATGAAAAATCACAAGAGAAAAAAGCTCTTTAGAGCAAGCAGGAATGAATAACAACAATTATTTTTATTTTCCGAAATAATTGTACTGCCTGGGCTCGGGGCGCCAGGGGACTCCACTTCAATGGTTGGTTTTAGATGGCTCCAAGGAGCCTGTATTTGCATTGCATATTATCAGATGCACTAGCCGGTGCCTGCACTCATTAAGCCCAGTTAGCAATTTCCTCTTTTATTTCCATAGTGAACGCGTGGCCAGAAAAATAATCGCCAATGTATATGCCAGAGGAAGGGAGCGCCCGCCGGGAGCGCTGCAGCACAGATGGCACAGCTTTTCAGTAAGCGAGGGGCTTATCTGGGGGCTCTCCTAGGCCAGACTGGCGATCCCCTGGCCCTGAATTGTGGTGGGACAGCCAACTCTGGCCCCAGGCGGGGCCTGGAGGATGGGCTGCGCTTCAGGGAAGCTGGGGACGGGATCCAAGATGGGGCCCTGGGGCGGGGTCGCGGAGTCCTTCTCTGCGTCTAACTCCAGAGGCTGCTTTGCCAAATGGGTCTGTTCTCTTTGTGCATCACGAGGGACAGGGGTGTGAAGTTCATGGCTTGGAGGATTCCTGGTAAGGTGACCTCTAGGGAGAAGGACCTAGCTGGGAGACCTGGAGACTAGAGCTTCTCTTGCAGGTGCATCCATTTCCTCCTCTGTGAAATGGGTTGATGTCAACCAAGGAGATGCCCTTGAAAGGCATCTGCGAGGTGCTTGGAAACGGCAGGAGTTCACAGTGACATGTTACTAATCGCCATCACAACCGGGATTACAGGTGATGGATTAAATAGTATACATTAATATGTGTCCAAGAAAATAACAGTGCCATTAACAATCCTAATGCTCCCAAGAGGAATGGCACACACCCACCTCTCAGCTGGGGGCTTGGGGAGCGGGGTCAGAGGGAATACTGCTACCCCATTTCCCCCCCATATTCCCTGTCACTGCCATTTGGCTCAGAGGAGGGAGGAGAAAGAACAATTAATTCCCCCTCACTGGCCAAGGCTCAGTCTCTCAGCCTTTCAGGCTCTACCCGGAGCCAGGAAAGCTTATTACAATGCAGATTCTTATTCCCCTTGTCTGGGGTGGGGCCTGAGTGTCTACATTTCTTTTCTTTTTTTTTTTTTGAGTCGGAGTTACACTCTGTCACCCAGATGGAGTGCAGTGGCATGCTCACGGCCATGGCAGCCTCGGCCTGCTGGGTTCAGGTGATCCTTCCACCTCAGCCTTCCAAGTAGCCGGAACTACAGGCACGTGCCACCATTTAATCCTCACCGCAGCCTTACCTACGAGAGGCGCTCTTGAATTATGCCCATTTACAGAGGACAAACTGAGGCGCAGAGTGGGAGATGGCCTTTCTGGTTCTCCCAGGTAAGTGGAGAGCTGGTCCTAAAGTGTGCGCATGTTTCTGCTCTGCCATTGCTCTTCCTGAAGCCGCGGTCAGGAGACTGCCAACACCCTCAGCCCCTCTGAGGCCAGCACAATGTTGGGCTGGTGCTGCTGGGATGGGGTTAATTTTTTTTTTATTTATTGTAGAGATGAGATCTCGCCAAGATGCCCAGGCTGGTCTTGAATCCCTGGGCTCAGGCAATCCCCTTGCCTCCACCTCCCAAAGTGCTGGGATTACAGGCATGAGCCACCGTGCCAGCGTTGCATCTGCATTTCTAATGAGCTCCTGGGTGACGCCCAGGCTTTGCATCCTCTGATCACATTTTGAATAGCAATGGCTTAGAGCGCTGTTTTCCAAAGTATGCTATGGGGCACACCGATCCCACCAGATTCAGCCAGGAAAGGTCCTGTAGGCAAGTCAGCCAAGGAAACCCTGTATGACTCGATAACTCTCCACTTGAGCATACTCAAGGCTCTGAGAAGTGCTGTCCCCAGGAAGAAACTCATTCAATTCAGTGGTTCTTAAACATTTTTGACCACAGGATCCTTATCTTGGGGGGAAGACCTCTTAACATCCTTACAACACACTCCGCTGGGAAATTCTGGATCTGGAGGAGGAACACACACTTTAGAGCCGGCCAGTTCTGGGTTCAAATCCTAGTTCTGCTTTCTAACTCCATGACCCTGGGCTAGTGTCTTGATGCCCTTGAGCCTCAGTCTCCTCATCTTTAAGGTGGGGACAATAAACCTGCATCACGGGGTTGTCAGGAGGATTACATGAGATTGGGAATGTGACACGCTTGCAACAGTGCCCGGTGTACAGTAGGCAGTCAAGAAATGAAAACTCCTCATCTTCCCTGCAGTTTTTCTTGGGCTATCTGGGGTTTTCTGCTGCAGTTGGAAGCAAAACTGCCCTTTTTTCTGGAACTGGTCAGCTGGGTGGGGTCTGTGTGTTCACAGATGCAGGCACATCACCCCAGGGGAAGTGGGTGCCACTTCCTAGTTCCTTCTCCCCCGGTCGTGGGTTTGCCCACATTGGCTCTCCTTGTCACCCTCAGCCGTCCCTCCCTGACGCATGACACCTCCCACGCCCCAAACTGTCCTCCTTCCTTCTTCTGTGCCTGAAATAGACCCATGCCCGAATTAGCCCTTCTCAGCAAGGCACTGCTTGCAGAAGCCTCACCCAGCCCTGACATCCACTGGGTGCTTCCCTCTGTGGTCGCCCTGAATGTAGGTGGCTTGACCGGAGGTCTGGGGCAGGGGAAGGGAGGACAGGGGAGCAATCTCCATGTTTTGCAGGAGTGTGAGAAGTAAAGGACACAATAAGGGAGAGATCCGTAGCCCAGTGCCTGGACAGCAGGGGTGTTGGGAAAAGCCATTTCCCTTCCCTTGGCTTCTTTGGGGCAGTGTGCTCATGACTGAGCCCTGATGGCTCTCAGCAGCCCAGGAGCAGTCTGGGGGACAATTATGCAACCTAATTCCAGAACGAGGCAGTATGTGAGGTCTTCTAACGGCCCTGGGGCAAGTGAGTGGCATTCTTTCCTGCCCCTGTGTAAGGAGGTTAAGATGCAGACCCAGGGTCCACGGTGGCAGCACCCTGCCCCCACCCTCCCCGCCCCTGAGGGGGCCAGTCAGAATGCAGAGACCCAGGACAAACGCCCCAGCACAGGCAATAGCAAGAAACACCAGTCCACATCCGAGGGACAGAGCTAGGCCCGAGCCCAAGCAAACCCCCTGCCCATTCGCTCTGTGGAAGAGAAGAGGAAGAGACGTCTACTAGTGGCTCAGCCATGCTACAGGGCAGGGCCAAGGAGCTGACCCTGGCCTGGGTCCCCCGCCTTGAGGGAACTTTAGCGTCGAGGACTGGAACCTCGGCTGGGGACCCAGATGCCAGCTTCAGCCCAGGTCCTGACCCCAGGCCTTCTTCCCAAAGCCAGGGCCAGGAACGCGCTTAGGAGAGGGCCACGCCGGGTGGGGCGCTGCTTCTTGGGGGCACATCTGAAGTCAAAGTCACATCCCCCTTCTGGGCTCCGTGGTGGGGGTGGGGCGGGGCCAAAGGCCCAACAGGAGCCAGGGCCTCTTTGGCAGCCGCGAGTGGGCATGGCGTGGACTCCCCGGGTGGCCCCTCTCTTAAGCGCCTGCCCCACGTGAGAGGGACCGTCCCAGAGAGGCCCATGCGCAACCGAGATCTGTGCGGTCCAGACAGGAAAAGAAAGCCCAGAGTTGGGGGTGGGGGAGAAAGACACCCATCCAACCAAGACCGAGGCTCGCCGGCGAGACATACCATTGACTAGGCTGGCATTTGCACTATCTGCAGCATTTGACGCTGCCGCACCGTCTGCTGCTGCGGGGGGTGGGAGGGATGGAAAATGCAGTGTCACAATGGGGAAAAGCAACAACACGAAAGACGTGAACCGACTTGTGGGGCGCTAACGTGACTCTCGTCCTAAAACCTACTCTGTGGGCCAAGAAACGTAAATCTGGGGGTGAAATGTTCCCGTAGCCATGCCACAGGGGTGGAGGGGGACACTCAGCGATGGAGGGTCTTTGAAATAAAACAGGGAGGATGGCCAGGGCGGTGAGGCGGGATGGCACAGCTCTGTGGTGAGGTGTGGACCCTGTTGGCCAGTTAGGTGGGTCACCCGTCAGAGGGGGCTCTGTGAGGGAGGGTACCTGGCTGCCACGGAGGCCAGAGCGGCCTGTGGCCAGGCGCCAACTGGAAATTGTCCATGAGCAGAGCCAGTGCGGGCACCGCTCTGACAGCCGCTGCCGTGTGTGAAGGTGTTCTGGCAGAACACCCATCTAGGGCAGTCACTTAACCATATTCACACCTCCAACTCAGGCCACTGCCCGTGGCCACCTTCTCCTTCCCTAACCAGCATACCAGAGCCTTCGTGGGAATCCCATATGAGGAGTCCCATTCTCTAAAGGGTGACACAGAACATGCTGCATTTTGTCCGCGAGACAGAAAAGGCACTGGCAAGTTTTTCTGAGTTTAGAAACGGAAAGTGACATGAGATGGCCAAATTCACCCCGTCACTTTCTTGAGGTGGGGAGCAGGGTTCTATGGGTGAGACACACTATTGGGCTCCCCGAGGTGCTGGTGGAGGGAGCTGGGGCCACGGGTCCTGGGGTGGAAACTGAGGTATTGTGTGCCAGTGTGCGGGGCTGAGGCGAGGCGGGGACGCTGGGGGTTCCACCCATGTGGCATTGGCCGGCAGGGTGAAGTGCTGTAAGGGCAAGAGGGGGGAGGGGGATGTCGGCTCCTCCTGGGGGGCAGGCATCACCCGAGGGCACAGAGCAGGGCGGGGGGGAGGGTTGGAGTTCCCAGCAGGCACGTGGCCTCCTCCAGCCGTGTGCTGGAGGTCTCGGGGAGGGCCCAAAGGCCAGGGCTCCTGCTATTTCTAGAAGCCCGTCTACCCTGCGGGGTATCTTACTGTACCTGGTAGCTGAAGGCCATCCCCCTTCTTCACACCTGTGTGATGATTTTTGAGACATGTTAATGAAGGAGAAGCACACGCAGCCTCACCCACGCACACGCGCGCACGCACATTGCCCGTACACACACGCACAGCCGCACACCCGGGCTCATCCTGAAATGGAGCATGTGGTGAGTGGGCCGGAAGCAATGTCCCTGGTGGAAGATGGGATGGGACGGCAGGGTGGGGGGAGTGGGTCTGCTGTGCTGCTCACGGTGGCCCGAGACCCAGGCTACTCTCAGACTTCCTCTGTCACGTCCCCTCGGCATCCCATGACTCTTCTCGCGACACAGGGCTGAGTCTTCTGATACTCCCATCTCACTGGGGTGCAGGTGCAGGTTCAGTGGAGACCCCTGAACCGTGCTTCTGCAGCGGTTGAGGCCTGTCTCCCTACCGGAATTTGTTGTGGTGGTTATTGAGTTGCGTTCTCACTGTGCAACCCAGGATGGAGTGCAGTGGCACCATCACGGCTCACCGCAGCCTCCACTTCCTGGGTTCAGGTGATCTTCCCACCTCAGCCTCCTAAGTAGCTGAGATGACAGACATGTGCCTCCATGCCTGGCTAACTTTTTTTTTTTTGGTAGAGACAAGGTCTTGTTATGTTTGCCCAGGCTGGTCTCAAACTCCTGAGCTCAAATAATCCTCCCACCTTGGCTTCCCAAAGTGCTGGGATTACAGACATGAGTCACTGCGCCTGGCCCCTCCTGGCATTTTAAAACCACAGGCCTGGTCTGTGGAAGACTCTGGGGATATGTGCCTCTCAATCAAGCCTCTGTGAAGCCAGGGCAATGGGTGCAGCCTGCTGCATCCTGCCCAGCTGCTCAGATCTGCCAACTGCCAGCATTCTGGGGCAGGGTCCAGCCATCCTGGCCACAGTTTCCAACTTAGCAGGGGGACATTGTCCCGATACCCTCTGGGACTCTTGACCAGGACCTCCCCTCAATTTCTAGTTCAGGTCTCTCCAGCCTTGCGGCTTCCCAGACCACAGCTCAGCTCCATGCCTCCTGCTGTGGGCAGCCACAGTGTAGGGATTCCCACTCAAAAATGGGTTTGTCTTCAGGAACAAGCAGCCTTCAGTCCTGACCCAGGCTTTGTGCCTGATTGGCCTGCAAGGGCTGGAGGGAGCAGGGCTGCCTCTAATACTCTAAGAGGTGCTGTCTGCCCTCTCAGTTCCCTTCTCCTGGGATTTCGAAGTTCTGGGTGTTTGCGGGTCCTCCTCTGGAGCTTGGGGAAGGACACAAAAGACTGAAAAGGTGAAAGGAGGCTGTCCCTGAGACCAAGCGTGGGTGTCAGGTCAGGAGTCCGCGATGCTGGGGCCAGAAGACTGGGCTTTTGGGTTTGGGCCTGGCCTGAGGGCATCAGAGCTTCTTGTGTGGGCATCCCTCCCTCTGCTCTGAGAGGCACTTTCAGCCTAGACTATCAGACAGCTGCACTGAGGGGAGCCCAGTGATAAGGAACCTTATTTTCCAGGGGGAGGAAGAGCCAGAACTTGGGCAAGGTGGAAGTTTGGGGCACTGGAGAAGGAATTCACAATGGCTGACTTGGAGCCATGTACTTGGCTACCTTCTCCAGAAACTCTTCTGCCACATCTTGGATGAGTCTAGGCTCAGTGGATTTTCAGCTCTGCTCGGTGGAGCTGACCAGAGTGGAAGACATATGCCTGGGTGAGGATTTCTACTCAATATTGGGGTGGTGATGAAACCAGTTCATGCTGGCTAATTCTACCGCTTGAGGCTGGAGACTCAACAAGGTGGTCAGCATCTTTGGCCTGGCCTAGAGGGGAAGAAGGGACCTCCATGACATGATTGGACAAGACAGACACTGGGACAAGACCCTGGAGATGGAACAGACAGAGCCCACCTGGCCCTAGCAGGAACTTGAGGATGCAGGAGGTGGCTGTCAGCACAGGGTGTGGACATAGAAGGCACTCAATAACTATTTTGTTGAGTGAACGAATAAACAAACAAAAAAATGTGGCCTTAAGAGCTCCTCTCCTGGCCTGCAAGAGGGTTGGGCTTACCTTTTTTATCTTTCTTCTCTTCCTCTTCACCACCCGCCCCCAGCAGGGTGAAGATGATGCCGGTCTGAGAGTTCACACCAACGGCAGTCACCAGCATCCGTCCTGAGCCCTCCATCACGTGGGTCCCTGGGAAAGGGGACAAAAGCCAAGTTACCATTGCATGTCCGAAGCCCCCTCCCCAAAGGAGTGGGAGAGATGCAGTTTCAGTCAGTTGCTGGCTCTTTGCCTGCTGAGGTCATGGGACACCACTTACGGTTAAGGTTCACACTGTGGGTGTGGTGGGTCCTTTTTTTTTTTGAGTTGGAGTCTCACTCCATCACCCAGACTGAAGTGCAGTGGCTGCTCCCAGCCACCACAGCCTAGACCTTGCTGGGTTCCAGAGATCCTTCCGCCTCAGCCTTCCAAGTAGCTGGAACTACAGGCATGTACTACCATGCCTGGTTAGTTTTTGATTTATTGTAGAGACGAGGTCTCGCCAAGTTGCCCAGGCAACTTGCGGGCTCAGGCAATCCACTAGCCTCAGCTTCCCAAAGTGCTTGGCTAAGCCACTGAGCCTGGCCGGCTGTGGTGGGTCCTTTTAAGACCATTTCTCCTCAGGACAGTGCTGGGACAGGACTGGAGCTGAAACACTGCTATCCCTCAGTTCTCAGGCCCCAGCAATTCCAGGCCTACCACCTAATACCTTGCCTGGAGAGTCACATCCTCTCTTTATCTCCTTCTCCCTCCTCTTCTTCCACCCTTATAGGTCAAGCAAGGACCACTCTCTCTTTTTCTTATTGGTAGTATTCAGAACCAGACTCCATCCTGCTTAATTCTGCAACCAGGAAAGACATGCCAAGTAAACCCTAGTCAGGACTGCTTAAAATGGGGGAGTTACTCCACCCCACACACACCCCCAAAGATCTGTAGAAAGAATTCAAGGTTCTGTGAACTTAGATGACAAAAAAAATTATATCTTTATTTTCACAAGCCTCTAACTGAAATTTAGCATTTCCCCTATTACACACATAGGCAACAAACTCCAGGAGTGGAGTGCCCGTGACACAATCACACACATGATACAAGTCACGGCTTTTTTTCATGTCACTTTACAGCTGTTGCTGAATTGCTAACGCCCCTATTTTTAAGGCTTGGGTCTTCAACTGCCAGCTAGATCTTGTCATTCAGTGTGCTGATAAAGAAGCACATACATTGCTATACGATACGCTCCCCGCCACTACGTTTACTATGTCAATGTAATTGGTTTCCTTTGTGGGCCCATGAATTTCCTTTTATGCCTTTCAAGGCTTTATTCTGATTCGGGGCTGCATGTGAGGACGCCAGACTTCCTTAGGGGACTATGCGGCAAGAAAGGTTAAGAACCTTGTCCCTAGAATTTTAGATTTCTCAGAGTAGGTTCCAGAGGGTCCTGGAATTCTTTCCCAGAGCTAGAGGGGCAGTCGTGGGGGTGGAGGTGTGTGTGTAAAAGAGGCCTCTGGTCAGAGTGGCTCTAATTCTGTTTTATCTCGGGGTTTCTGTGCCAGCTTTTGTTTGACAAGAGAGTCTTGTTGCTGCTTGAAGGCAAGCCCTCTGTCATGCACAGAGAGCAACTTGTCCAAGAGCATGCTGGGTGTTTGTGGCAGAGCAGGGATAAGACACAAGGTGGGGGGGGTGTGGGAAATGTAGTCTAGACACGCCATGGAGTGTTACTCAGCTTTTTTTTGGAGAGATGAGATATTGCGATGTTGCCCAGGCTGGTCTTGAACTCTTGGGCTCAAGCGATCCTCCCACCTCAGCCTCCCAAAGTGCTGGAGTTATAGGTGTGAGCCATCGTGCTCGGCCTACTCAACCTTAAAGAGGAAGGAAGTTCTGACTCCTGCTGCAGCATGGGTGAACCTATGGGGCATTATGCTAAGTGAAATAAGCCAGTCACAAAAGGACTGTAAATGCCACATGGTTACACTTAGATAAGGTTCCAAGAGTAGTCCCATTCACAGAGGCAGACAGTAGGAGGGGCTTGGGAGAGGGGAATGGGAGTTAGTGCTTAATGGGACAGAGTTTCAGCTGGGGAAGACGAGAAAGTTCTGGAACTGGACAGCTGTGATGGCACAGTGATGTGAATGCACTTAATGCCACTGAACTGGACTCTTAGGGTGATAGAATATAATATAACATTTTATGTTAGGTGTATTTTTTGAGTCAGGGTCTCACTTTGTTGCTCAGGTTGAAGTGCAGTGGCACAATCATGGCTTACTGCAGCCTTGTCCTGGGTTCAAGGATCCTCCCACCTCAGCCTCCCAAGTAACTAGAACTACAGGTATTCGTCATTATGCTTGGCTATTAAAAATAATTTTTTTTGTAGGGACGGGGTCTTGCTAATTTGCCCAGACTGGTCTTGGACTTCTGGGATCAGCAATCCTCCTGTCTCAGCCTCCCAAAGTGCTGAGATTACAGGTATGAGTTATGTGTATTTTACCACAATAAAACGTACGGAGGCTGGGCTCGGTGGCTCAGCCTGTCATCCCAGCACTTTGGGAGGCTGAGACGAGTGGATTGCCTCAGCCCATAGGGTCAAGACCAGCCCAGGGAACTTGGTGAGACCTCATCTCCACAATAAATCAAAAATTAGCTGAATGCAGTAACACGCACCTGTAGTTCTGGCTACTAGGAAGGTTGAGGTGGAAGGATTGCCAGAGCCCAGTAGGTTGATGCTGGGGTGGCCATGAGTGTGCCGCTGCACTCCAGCCTGGGTGATGGAGTGAGATTCTAACTAAAAAAAAAAATACTGGAATAAAAAGTAAGCCTGCAAAAGCCATGGCCTCACTGGGCATGCAAAGGTCTCCCTGGGAGGCAGCTGGGCCCTTGCCTGGGAAGTGGATAGCAGCTCCATCCATCCAGTTCTGGCAGCAGGGATGCGGCTGCACCAGCCCTCCGTTCTCAGCTGTGCTAGAAGACTTGTCATCACTGTGTCCTGCTCCACCAGGGCTGTTGGGCAGCTTTCACAGAGCTGACTGGTCACTCCCAGGGAGATAGTGGGCACTCACAGCCCTCCTGGCCTGCGAGGTGGTACCTGCACTAGGCTCAGGGCACACCCCAGGGGCAGCCCTGGCCCACAGGCAGCTGCTCTACTGAGTAAAGAATCTGGATAAGTGATGCCTGGCCCTCAGGCATCCGTTGTTTTCTGGTTTTGTTTTTTACCACTCTGGGTAGAAAGTTCTCTATAGCACAGCACACATCACTTCTCAGATGCAGAGGCAGGAATCTGGCCTGCCCTGGCGAGGGGTCCCAGGTGTCTCTGACAGTGTCAGACAGCCCCTGGCACAGACACCCTGACACTCCATGACTTGCTCCGTGGCTTCTCTAACAAGTTTCCCCTTCTTTCCCCTGGAGACTGGTTGCCACTTCTCCCTGTCTGCAGCATCTCTGGTCTCTGACGGCCTTCTTACTCTGTCCTGGTTTACTTCGGTTTAGAATTGTTTCCGAAAGAAGAGTCAAGGGCTTCCAAGTCAGGACCCCAAGTGCTTTCCTAAAGCAAAGAATCTGTTTTCACCTTTTAGATGGTGTCACCACGTGGCCCCTTTCCTTCTAGGATCTCAGGATAACTGGATGTTGTGTGTGTGTGTGTGTGTGTGTGTGTGTGTGTGTATGTGTGTGTGTGTGGTGTGTGCGCGCACGTGTGCATGCGTGTGTGGCACTCCAGCCTCTCAGCCTCTGGGACCTCAGGATCTGAAAGGGCTTTGCAGACAGACAGAACTCTCCAGTGAGTTTCTTTAAGGCAGATAAGTGTCAACCTGTCCACGCGCAGATGCAGACACCTATCATGAAGGCCACAGGCGGGGTATGAAACCCAGTGAGCCGTAACAGAACCCAGATTCTCAGGTGGCGAGTTCTTCAGTCGTTCCAGGATCACTGGGCAGGGCACAGTGGGGACCACAGAATGAAGTCAGACGCTGGCTCCAGGCTGGCAGCCCAGCTTGGGCTTCCCCTGGAGTTCCCCCATACCCATCGACGAGTCCCAATAACCAGTAACGGAATCTCGGTCACTATGATAGCTTGTCGACAAGACACTTTCTTGGGGGCCAGCTTGGCTTGTGTGGTGGCTGGGAGGACAGGTTGGACAGATGAGGAGTGTCGGGGTGGGGGGTGCCTTGACACTCTTCAAAGGAGAGGAAGGAACACACTTGGCTGTTTTCACAGAGCACAGAAGTAGCAACAGCCACCCAGCCAACGTCTGTAGACATCTACTGTGTGCAGGGCATGTGCCACCCTCATGCCAGAAGACATGGGGCTCAGAGGGGAGAGGGGCTTGCCCAGGTCATCCCGCCTTGGTGAGGGGCAGAGCCAGGACTTGAACTCTCTGCTATCCCTTGAGCCATGGCCTTTGTCACACCCCACTTCACCCCCAGGAGACAAGGCCCTGACATCCTGGTTAAGCACACAAGTGGAAAGGTGCCCTGGGAAGTGCTGGCCCTCTAGCCTGGGCCCTCTAGCCTCTAGCCTGGGTGGCAACCAAGAGGCCGCTCCTCACCTCCCAAATAAGACAGGATGGAAAAAGATGCAGAGGGCCAATTTTCACTAAGATAATCAGACCCCAAATCACCTTCTAATCTAATCACTCCCATCGCAGTGGGAGCTGGCAGCTCGGCATCCAGAGGCAGGGAGGAAGGAGGAGAATGCCAGAGAGGGGCCTCGGTCACACCTTGGGGAGAAGACCCCACAGGCTCCCTCCCCAGCCTCAGTCCCAGGGGTCCTCCGGGCTCCAGCACTAGAGGGACTAGGGAGGTGGGAGCATCATTCCCCTGGTCCTCCCTCCCTTTGTGGCCCCCTGGTCCCCCGCCTTTGCTCTGATCAGTGACTCCCCAGTTCAACACCCTTCCCGAGCTCCAAACGACAGCCAACGCCCCCTGGATCAGATTCCAGCCTCTTTCCAGCCCTCAGCCCCTGATTCCTGCCACAGGGCCTCTGCCCTTGGAGTGTGCACAGTTCACTGGGCCTTTGTGTCCTGTCCCCAGCCGGCGCTCACAGTTACCACTGCCTGAACGCCTTTCTCTCACCTCTTGCCCTAAACGGCCTCCTCAAGGCTCAGGATGAATGTACCCACTCAGGTGGCTCCTGACTTCACTAAGAGACTTCATCTGTCTCCTCTG